ATGTTCTGCCTGATTTCTTAGGCAGAAGTCATTTTCTATTTTCTGTTCTGTCTATTTTAAATGATGTAATGAGAACCATTAGATCATAGTCTAGGTGGATTCTCTAGCTTAGATTTGGTATGACACGTGTAAGCACCTAATAGGGTGACAGTTGTAATTCTGTTAGAAGAGAATCACATTTCTCTCTACGTCAGTCACACTATGTAAGCTGCAGATTGTAAGAATTTAATAGAACAGTGCCTTCCTCATTTTCTCTTCATGCTCTCTAGCTAAAATCTCCAGAAAATACTTCTCTTCCTAATCTGAAAATACATATACTAACGGCAAATTCTAACAGGCATGTCTATATTCTACTTTCACTACAAGAAAATGGGCCTTAGTTGACACTTCATTCTTTTATATATCTCAAGTTGTTTTTCTGATTGGATATTGTGGGTGCTGTTATGGATTCTTATTTTGCCATTAATTTCAGTTATTTCTATGAACCATATGATTTTCATTTTTGAGACCTTGAGTAGGACAGTTTCTGGTTTGGTTTGCCTTTGTATCTCTCACACTAGATGCTGATAAAGCCTCCTTCCAAGGAAAATTCCATTTAGATTTAGTTAGGATTTTATTACTTTTTATTTTTATTCTGATAACTTGGTACTCTAATTTTTTCACTGGTTTTTGATAAAAAGGATGATGAAGTGCTAGTCAGCAGAACAAGTGTGACCTTATTGTCAATCTTAAAACTTCAGCAAACCAAAAAGTAGGTAAACTTAGTTTTCATCCCTTTCAAGCTTGTTGTGGTGCTTTGGATTTTGGATTGCCATATACAATTTAATAAGTTAAGTTCTTTACTTTCCTTTTGGTCTTGGCAGTTGTTGTGGTGGGATAGTGTAAATTTTAAATCCAAAGCTTTTGACTTTGATGATGGTAATAAATTTGCTCGTTTTATTAAAATAATCATGAATCATCATTTACAACATAGGTCAGATTACAAATGTTGGTACTACTATATCTGCTTGTTTTTGTAATTAGTGGGCTAATCCTGATGGAAATCAGTTTGGTCTTGCATAAGTCCTTCATCCTGATGATGTCCTTGCTTCTTTTTTTTCCTCATTATTGATACCTTAGAACGTGTAATGCTTTTGTCTAATATATGTACGCATTAAATTTGTTTGCAGGTTAGGAGTATCAGTCTTCGTAGAGAAGGTGCTGACATTCATGTAGATGTTGGTTTGTGTATCACTCAGATATTGCTTAAATATTTTACTTCTTTGAAGTTCTTTATATGCTTTAATACGAGAAACTCTTGAAGATTGAGTATATGAGATGGAGAAATAGAATAATCTCTTTTAACTTTGGCAATATCTAATTGTTTTTAGGTCACCAACAAACTCAAGTGTAAGAACTCAAATGGGTTTCATTGGTTTTGTGTATTTGGATCGTTTTTCTGATTGGATATTTTGGGCTCTGTTTTAGGTTGCTTGTTTGCAATTAATTTTGGCTATTTCTATGAACCCTATAATTTCGTACGAGAAATTCAAAAGGGAAAGAAGGTTTGACTAAATTTTCATATGGCCCTTGAAAGAATGCATGTCCTACTTGAACAAGAAAAGTATATGATCGTTTTTGAGTCTTTACACTCTTTGGCTGACCTTGTCCAAGCAAGTATTGGATGTTTTATAGGAACAACAAATTAGTGAAGTACTCATCCTAGCTTCAAATCCCTTTGGGAGGTAAAAATGATAACTAGGATTTTAGTTTAATAGAAGAAGTCACTATTTTGTGCAGTGTATATATTGCTAGAATTTATCTGTGATGCACTATGTAAAGTAAAGTAGGTTTTATACCAATATTAGTCCTATCACGGTTCTTGAATATTCATGTTAATGACTTTTCTTGAGAAATCTTGTACTTGATAATTTCTAATTTTCTGTTTACATGTTAGAAGAAGATATTTTGTCTATTTATATATTCTTCCTTCTGGATGGTGCTTAGGACTTATAAGTTTTGGGAAGTACTCATAATTGTACTTTCGCCTGAGTAGGAATTTTTTTCCCAGTTTGCAAGAATTGTTCATCAAATTTATATAAGTTTGTAGATAGCACAAGCATGCACCTTTGAAGAAGCACATATGAGATTCTCATCCAACCAATTTCATTGTCACAAATTATGTATCTCTGACTCTGTTTTTTCCCTCAGGCTGGATTAGCTCTTGGAGAGTTGCGAAAGGAAAATAATTCCTAAGAAGACTTTGGCCAGTAACTAATCCACCTTCAAGTCAAGAACATCTTTTACATCCTCAACTTTTACAGAAGCCTCTCCGCCCATTCCTTGCTCGAGGGTATTTTGACGATGTAGGAGTGTAAAATGTGATTCCATTAAGGACGTCGTGTCCTTTTTGTAATACGTTGTAGATTATGAATATATAGTGGGAATGTAGAGTTTTTGTATTGCCTTTGGATTGCTCCCCTATTGTATTTGTATTGTCATAGTATTGCCATTGTAGTGTCGTGGTATTGACTGGTTATTGCACTTATATTTCTTTCTTATCACCTGTTTTTTCAAGTCTATCTTGTGAAGGAACTTATAAGGATATTTTGTAAAAGAAAACGCTTGATTGTATTAGTTTATTTTGTAAAGGAAAATGTTAGATCATTATTCATTATCATATAAATAAGGTATAACAAGCACCGTATATGTATCTCTTCAATATGATTGATTCATGTTCAGTTATTGCTGTAAGAATGTGATTCTATTATTGCTTTTTTATTGATTATTTATTATTGTAAGAATGTGATTCCATTAAGGACGTCACGTCTTTTGTATAAATCAAACTCATAGTTGCTTTCCCTGCAAGAAATTATGTTCATTAAGAAAACCAACCAATAAACAATAAACAAAAGCAATTTGTATATTGTATTTGAAGGGATGTATATAATGCCATAATCTAACTGAAGTTGTATTAATTTACGTCGAGCCGTCCTTAGATTGGGGTGGTTATCATTATCAGTATAGAATTTTGTATTTATAATTTAAAATTCCATTATAATAAGGTGGAAAATGTGAAATGTGCATCATATCTCAATCTCATCATTGTGTTTGCAAAATGATGCATGCCTCAGCTACTTTCAGTGTCAACAATGTCTCCAATTTCATAGGGTATGTATATCATTGGCAGGAAAAATGTAAGGGGAAATGTCTGATATAATCACTTTCTATTTCTTTCTGCAGTTTCGTCTTGACAATTTCTGTTTCTTTCCCCTTTTCTTTTCAGATTACACAAGAAAAAGAAAAGCCGCGCCCAACTTGTTTATTGTATTTGTATTGCGTTTTTATTGCGTGTCTATTGCCACTTTATTGCTTGTTTATTGCAATCGTATTGCTTTTGTATTGCATGCCTGTTACCACTTCATAATCTACGTGCCATTACTTTCATATGGTTTTCGTTTATTGCTTTTTGGTTGGTTTTCTTAATTAATATAATTTGTTGCAGGGAAAGCAACTATGAGTTTGATTTATACAAAGGACGTGATGTCCTTAATGGAATCACAATCTTACAATAATAAATAATCAATAAAAAAGCAATAATGGAATCACATTCTTACACCAATAGCTGAACATGAATCAATCATATTGAAGAGATACATATACGGTGCTTGTTATACCTTATTTATATGATAAAGAATAATGATCTAACATTTTCCTTTACAAAATAAACTAATACAATCAAGCGTTTTCTTTTACAAAATATCCTTATAAGTTCCTTCACAAGATAGACTTGAAAAACCAGGTGATAAGAAAGAAATATCAGTGCAATAACCAGGCAATACCATGACACTACAATGGCAATACGATGACAATACAAATACAATAGGGGAGCAATCCAAAGGCAATACAAAAACTCCACATTCCCACTATATATTCATAAATAATCTACAACATATTACAAAAAGGACACGACGTCCTTAATGGAATCACATTTTACACTCCTACATCGTCAAAATACCCTCGAGCAAGGAATGGGCGGAGAGGCTTCTATAAAAGTTGAGGATGTAAAAGATGTTCTTGACTTGAAGGTGGATTAGTTATTGGCCAAAGGCTTCTTAGGAATTATTTTCCTTTCGCAACTCTCCAAGAGCTAATCTAGCCTGAGGGAAAAAACAGAGTCAGAGATACATAGGCAAAAGTAAAAGTCAGATAATATAGAGGTCAGAAAATGTTAAAGTTTTCTTTTATAAATCCTTTTATTTTGCATGATTTTGGTATAATTTTATAATACAAAATAATTATATAAAAAATGAAACACCTAGGCCCCAATTCCCTGCATGCCGCCCACCTACTGCCTAGCAATTCTTCAAACATTTGAAATCCTTGACTGAAATTCTTGTTGTAAAATATGTAAACCAAACATGTTGATTTCAAATTTATAAATTTGAAATGCACATATTTATAATCCATAGATATCAAATTCAAATCTTAGTATCGAAACGGGCCCTAAACTTCCATCTTTTATTTTTATACGAAGCATGAAGCAGATAGATAATGCCACACAACACGGACATGCCTAAACTTTCAAAGAATGGCTATGCTCTATAAAACAAACTGTTCAATGATTTACACCTACATAAGAATACAAGACATCATGCTCAGATGAAAGCCAGAGTGAAACCTGTTCAAACAAACCCGGAGTGAACTTCATTCAACCTCAAGCACACCAAGAACAAAGAGATCAAATCAGAAAACGCTTGATTGTATTAGTTTATTTTGTAAAGGAAAATGTCATATCATTATTCATTATCATATAAATAAGGTACAACAAGCACTGTATATGTATCTCTTAAATATGATTGATTCGTGTTCAGCTATTGGTGTAAGAATGTAATTCCATTAAGGTGTAAGAATGTGATTCCGTTATTGCTTTTTATTATTATTATTTATTATTGTAAGAATGTAATTCCATTAAGGAAGTCACATCCTTTTTATAAATCAAACTCATAGTTGCTTTCCCTGCAACAAATTATATTAATTAAGAAAACCAACCAAAAAGCAATAAACAAAAGCAATACGAAAGTAATGACATTAGATTATGAAGTGATAACAGACATGCAATACAAAAGCAATACGATAGCAATAAACAAGCAATAAAGTGGCAATAGACAAGCAATAAAAGAGCAATACAAATACAATAAACAAGTTGGGCGCGGCTTTTCTTTTTATTGTGCAATCTGAAAAGAAAAGAGGAAAGAAACAGAAATTGTGAAGACAAAACTGCAGAAAGAAACAGAAAGTGATTATATCAGACATTTCTCCTTACATTTTTCCTACCAATGATATACACACCCTATGAAATTGGAGACATTGTTAACATTGAAAGTAGCTAAGGCATGCATCATTTTGCAAACACAATGATAAGATTGAGATATGATGCACATTTTACATTTTCCACCTTATTATAATGGAATTTTAAATTATAGATACAAAATTCTATACGGATAATGATAACCACCCCAAGCTAAGGACGGCTCGGCATAAATTAATACAACTTCAGTTAGACTATGACATTATATATATCCCTTGAAATACAATATACAAATTGCTGGCTCAAAGAAGAGTAACAAAATGCTCTTGCAGATGGAATTCTTTCCACCATCTTGGAGGCCTGAAATAATGCTCTTTGATAGTCACCCACCCTTCTCTAAAAAAAAGTTCTTCTTTCCTCTGCAGGAAAAAAGAAAGAAAAACCAAGATCAAGATCAATTGTCCTCCAAAAATATCGCTTAATTCTGAAGGAACAAAACTCTGTGTCCTGGTTACTGCAGATGTATTCTTAAGGCCAACCGTCTCCCATTCATCTTCTTCTGCACTAGAGATGATTTGAGGCCATTAATACTCGAGGGCTGTCCTTCAAGCTTAAGTAATTCATCATGCATCTGATCCATAATGAAGCTAAGGAACTCCTGAGCATCTTCTTGTCTGAAAAACAAAAATTAGGCAACTTAAAATAGAAAATAGAATATAGACATGCCGACATAAATATTTACACTAGACAAAGAAGAAACTAAACAATGCAAATTTAACCCTTTGGTAATTACTCTTGAGGTGTTCTAGGTTTCTTCTTTCCTTGGTCCATGAAAATATTGGCGAACTCAGAATAGTACAGAAGATTGTTAACCTATTTGTTACAACATTTTACCGATCACAAGTTAACTTCTAAAATATCTCAGTCTAACCCATTATTTCACATTAAATGGGTTGCAACAGGTGTAATAAACCACAAATAGAGAAATAAATTGGAAAAAGGTGTAACATGTTTTCAGAAAATAAACAATTTAAGTGGAGACACTGTAACAGCAGGCATTTTAGTCATGGGCTATGTCTGGCAGTGGCACTTTTTTAAGCCATCAGACAAATTGTAAAGCATGAGAATTATCAAACAAGCCTAATAATACTGAAGGAAAACCATTACCGATCAATACAAGATTTATGAGAATCACAAAGTAACAAAATTGTGCTACATGTCTGACCTTTCTTGTTTATTTGGAAATAGTGAAAAGATATTAATATAAAGAAAGAAAGGAAACGGTGCATAAGGGATTTAAAAGAAAAAAAGTGGCAGGGAAGGACATCTTTTGTGACTACAAATAGATGCATGTGCCTAAATCTTTTTGCAATGATCGTGCCTTACAATTTCAGCCAGCAGTACAATCAAGGATTAAATTTGCAATAAGAAGGCTCAACATAGAAATAAAAAATACAAAAAGACAAAACCTAGAACAAAAAATTATTGACCTAGATCAGATACACACCTTGGCCTGCCCGAGATGCTAGTTCGTACATCTGGAGTAAAATTTTTAAGAACGCCTTCAAACATGGCAGGGCTAAAAGGCCTACCAGTCTCAAGAACACCTGCATCTTTGTTCTTTGAACTTGGACCACTAGGCATGTCAAATTCAGAGATGAACTCGGCAAATGCACCCAATGTTGGATAGCCAACCTAATAAAATCAAATTCAAATGGACAACATATTAGTTATGTGATTAGCCAGAAAAAGAACAAGCATAGGCAAGGTAGCTTCCTATTTTCTGAGATCAGCAGTCTATATAAATTTTGTTATTTGCAAATTAGCAATTCTACTAAAACCACGTAAATGCAAAGTAATCGAATAAACAAAAGAAACCTTAGGCACTTTGCGAGTTCTCAATTCCTGCAGAAGCTGAATAAAAGGAGAACAGGATAGAAGAGCCTGTAGCGTTGCATTGAGAAAGCACAGATTCCCTGAATTGATTAAACCACGAGGTACTAATCAAAAGATTGTCCTTCACTTTCAGCAATGGGATTAAAAAAATACATCATGCAAGTTGAGCATATATGAATTATCAGTCACACTGAACTCTTTAAGTATTATGGGCAGGGATCGAATTTGGGACCTCTCGTGACATTGTCATCGATAATTTCCTAGATTAAATTTCTAAACTGCATAATTCAACTGACTTTGGCAATTGATGGGCTATACCCGCCAGAGATAATATAAAATTATACACAATCTAGATGACTACCTCAATTTTGTCTCTTGCAATCTTGCCAAGACAAAGCTCTACACAAACAAACTTACTGTAACGGCACTGTACACACAACCAGATTAACTAGCTTGTTTCCACACGGAATAACAACAAAATTTAGCAGGTTTCATAGCACAGGGAAGAGAAAAATCCCACGCCAATTAACATAAGTATTTCAAAATCACATAATTAACCATTAAGACTAGAACAGTGCAAAATATCCTACTAGATGCTGAAACAGCAATGATAACAACAAATTTACTTCTGCATTATTACTCAACAGCTAATTTAGGGCCTAGTGAGGTAAAGCTGTGTTATAATGGAATAGCCATTGCCACCACAATAAATTCCCACACTAAATATGTATCATAAAATGGAACTGAAAACACGCATCACAAACGAACCAATCGTAGATGACAAATAGCAAATTGAGGCACTTCGTCATCCATAGAGCAAAATCAATCAGACCAATAGAAGTTTCATCCAAGCATGAAGTAATTCACAGTTAAAATACAGAAATTTCCAATCTCTCTAATTACTAAACTTCACAAAATCAATCACAGGTTAGTGAAATTATCCTTCTCAAATGAAAACCGTACAAAAAGACAAACTAGTCAATAACAAATACAAAACCTACCTTAGAATCACTCGTTTTGCACACAGAACCGAATTGAAAATCGCAGAAACACCTAAAGAAAAGCTCGAATTCTGTCTGTGAGAGGATTGAGAATGAGGAGGAAGTATGTGAAAAAAGTCAGAATCGAAACCAAGAATTAGGGTTTTTTGAGGCCCTGAAGGAGCAGAGGAGAAGAGAAAGACGTCGATTGAAGACATGAAAAGAGAGGGAATTGAGAGATTGTTGAAGGGAGAGAGCATTTAACGAAGAAACCCTCTCTTTCACCTTCAAGAACCCCCTCAACAAACCCTAACATTGACTGGAAAGAGAGAAAGAGAGAGTGCTGCCTAGGTTTTCCCGACAGAGGGAGAAAGAGAGTGGTGGTGGTCGATGGAGAGAGAAAGCGCTGAGAGAGGAAGAGAGAACTGTGAGAGAGAGCTGAGAGAGAGAGAGAGAGAGCAAGCGAATGCAGAGAGAGTGAATAGGGAGCTGAGAAGGGACCAAAATTTCTGTAACAGTGATATTTGTGCAATAAGTGGACAATAAATATATATTTATAGGTGATAGTTTTACAATTTTTAAGAATGGGTGGTATTTTCACTTAAAATTATGAAAAGGGTGGCATAGAAGGCTATTTCCCAATTAATTATATTATTAAGATAGAAAGCTATAATTAGATTTGGCGATATCAGATCAATCGATCATAAATGAAAACTGTAAATAAAAGGAATGAATATAAAGCACATTAAAGAAAGAATAAAAAGATATAAGAAATATATACGTACCATAGTCCTGCTAAATTTTGAAGCTGATTTGCATGTCAATATCTTGGAGAGGTTGGTTGGCCAGAGGCCGTGAGTAGTGAACTCCTCATATGGTTTGCACCGTTTCCCGACCTTCAAGCATTTCGTCTTCTGCCATTGTAGTACATATTGTAGGTAGTCGTACGGTTGCCCATGAGTGGTGATAGCTTGCAGAGAAACCGCTGACGAGCACAAGAAGGAGTAGTTTTAACATTGCCAATATCTCATATATTAATGGCATGCTGATGATCTGATATCTCATATATTATGCCTTCTATATATATATATATATATATATATATATATATATATATATATGCTGCT